TTTGTAATTGATATGCCGAACATTTGTTGGGGAAGGTGGAAGTGGAAGTGGAACTGGAAGTTCAAGTCTCTGAAGGTGAATGAATTTCCAGAGATACATTTAGTGAATTTTAATTACGTACTGATACCTCGAGTACATTAAACCCTGGGATCAGTGTTAGTGAGTCAAGAACCCATTGATGATAATTATAATATGTTCGGACAGCAGTTTCCGTCCGCAAATTATTCCTCAATTTGTGTGTTGTAAAAATAAACCACAAAACCTGAAATGTGCATATTAATTAACAGTGCAGTTTGTAAATAATATATATTTCGCTGACAATTCTCTCAAGTTCTCTAGCGATAACCCCGCCATTTAACCTCATCCGAAATTCGAGAACGAAAACCCACTTGTTGCCATGTGCCTTGGCTTTGAGTGACTGAACTGAAAGAGGAAAAAAAAGGAAAAGTGGAATGAAATCAGTGCAATTTCCATATTAAATATATGCAAAAGTCGTAAGGTGATTTTTGTCTGCTTCTCGGCTTTATTTTAATGAGTAATTGTGGTGCCTTAAGTACAGTCTTGCAAAGAACTTAAAAGAACTTTGGTTAACCCAATTACCAAAGAGTTACAGCAATACTGTTTAATTTTAGCCTTATATATTTGTACTTTGGATCAACTTAATCGGTCTGCCTCGATTAGAGTCTAAAGTACTCATCTCTGACTTTGTATGGGGTTAGGAATATATATATGTGGTATAGACGAACACTTGAACTAGAAACTGAAAATTCCTTATCAAGAGTTTGACTTGAGCTCTCTCTATGTATTTCTATAAATAATCGCAGAATGCTTACAAAGTGCGTAATTATTTTAGCTTTATTTGTTATGTAATTAAATATTTTTTAAATGTTGTTTTATTTGATATAAATTCTGTTATTTTTTATGCCTCAACTTATTTTTCGAAGTGCAATTCACTTGGTTTTATTGTTTATGGCTTTGTTTATATCTTTATGGCAACTAAATGGCCAACTGGATTTCTTTTTTTAATGGACTGGTTATTTCTTATCAACAGTTGAAACTGTAAAAAATTGCGAATATTGTTATTTTTTCTAATAAAGTAGCAGCAGGCGGAAATTATTTGCATGAATAATTCACAAAGTGATCTGATTACATTAGTTTGTTTTTATAATCAAAACAAAAATAAGATTTTCCTGTGAATTCGCATTCAATTTTCATTAGAATGATATATTAATACTATTTAAATTACTTCTTCCTCTATGAATTACTTCCATTCTTCCTTAATATTTAAACTACATCTATTGTCTGAATTTAAATTAAGTCACTTACATTTCCCTGTTTGTTTTGTTACATCAAACAATTCCCTAATTAATTTGCTTACATTACATTTCATTGATGTTAATGGCGTTTTGTATTAAACTCGTGGATTTAACGCTTTCTCGGCCAGTCAGTCTGGAAAGCGTATAGTACAAAATTGCTCATTTAAAGAAGCTTGGTCTTCAATATCATTACAATACGTGAGAAATTGTACGAGTCACTTCCCAGCAGGATTGAGGTCTGGTAACATAAATTTCCACTTAAACTTCCGCATTTAAGTATACATTAAATTAAATTAGTTATACTTATCATTATGCATCGTCAAGCTGATAATATTGACATTATCATAATCTGATGACGCGCATATGTATATAAGGAGTCCCTATATATAGCCTGTTTATTGATACGCTAATTTACGCAAATACGTGAGTATTTGAGGGTTTAATAAATAAAGTTTTATACAGCTGGTTACACTTTGTTGTTGGAATGTGTGACTGCTCTCCCCATGACCCATTATTTCAATTAACTTGTAAACACTTTACTCCACTTATCGAGAAGGCATACGACATCTTTGTCTATGTCTATGTCTGGGGACTATATCTATTTGCAATTAAAGTGCAGGTCTCTATCTCTGAATCTGTCGAGTCTATGTGTACCTCAAACAAAAGGCATTTGGTAAATTGTTTGTAAATGGGGCCATTAATTTATTTACTGCGAAAACAGAACAATGACAATTTAGGAGAAACAACATACATTTCTTTTTGGGTGGTCCTAAGACAGTTCCCTGATTGTTTTGCCTTCAATTATTTTAAGGGGATCCCCTACTGCTCTATGGACAAAAATAAAGCGAGAACTTTTAGTGTTTCGTGTGTGGGAAGAGTGTGCTTAACTATTATTAGTATATTACCCACATTATAGTTTATAAGCTGTCAGAAGTTGGTCTAGTACCTAGACATTATAATATAATTGAGGTTTAGGGGGCTATAATTCGATTTGGGGATTGAACTTAATATTGATTCAATCAAGCATGAAGTATATATAGGATATATCTTAATTCAATTGAGGTAATAGGTTTGTTAATTAAAAGCTTGAAAATAGGTACTAATATATTATATATCAAAGACCTTATACAAGATATATCTTCTGTTTACTATCTATCTCTACAAAATTTTCTAAAGAACTCTTCTACCCTTTCTTTGCTCAACCATTCTATATTATTGTGTACTCTTCAGTCACTCACTTTACTAAAAAAATTCCACTCTCCAGATAGGCATATATACACATATTCTGATTACAGTATAAAGATGTAATAATATATAGTATATAACCATATATGTACCTTTTGAAAGCGTGTCGGTATATATTTTTTCAATTTTGATTGATATTCAGGGTGTTCCTGACGTCCACAGTGGGCAATTCTCAATTGATAGCCCAATGGTCTCGGATCGTAAATATATATATGTATCAATATTGGTTCCACTTTATCAATTTTCTGTTTTGCATCTCTATCGCTATCTCTGTCGAGGCAATCTACCATCTCATTCTCGCTATCAGGAGACAGCACAGCAACAGGAGATAGAATTTCCATGTTCCAATATATAGTATATAAAACTATAAAGGGGGCGTGGAACTACAGTCTCTATACTATTCGGTGCTCGTGTTAGAATTTGTAAACAACAAAAAACACTTTTAATTGCCGTGAGGAAATATTCTTCAATTAATTATGACTGACTTTTGACTTTACGATCAGAGTGAGATCACAATTTTCAATAGAACTCTTTACACAATTGCCAGTATTTCACTACATTTTACTATTTTAGATAATTCTTACTATTTAAAATGAGTAAAAATTGCAATATAGTATATTTTTATTGATTAAAACTAATAGTTTTACTATTCTTTATTATTAAAGATTCACATCTGAATGCAATCTTCACAACTATTCGTAAATCATTAAAAATAAACTTTAATAATAGACTTTTTAATGATGGCTGATATAGATGTTAGAGGCGGATTGTCTATCCGCGATCTCGTGGCAATAATAAAAATTGCAGTGTGAAATTAAATGCCATCGTTCGTCGCCTATAAACAAAAGCAGATCTCCAATTACGTCTGATTGAGGCACACGAACATTCAGCAGCCATTCATCGACAACAAAAGCGATGTAAACAATATATATATATAAACAAAATAATAATAGTAATCAACAAACGTAATAACAATAGCGGTAAAATAAATAACAAGTGCAGATAAGCGTAGTAAAACGCTACACAAAAGGCGACAACTTGTTAAATAAGCTAATTAATTTTATTTAATTTCACATACCTTTGTTATTAATTTTGTTGGATAAATATAACAGTTGACAATATGGGAAAAACAAGAAAAAATATATATGTAACTAACTTCTAGTTAGAAATAAATCGGGGTAATTGAGACAAAAAGAAAGAAAATGGAGTAAAAGTTAAGATATAAAATCTTATGAAAGCCATATGATGATTATGATTATGATTTTACAAATCGTTGCCTTAAGATTTATGGTATTTAAAACTATATTTATTCAGGAATGCCACAAAAATAGTAACAGATTCGATAAAGTTTAAAATATACCTTAATTTGATCATTATTATTTATATGATGGCACCTTAAAGACCATCCTTATTATACAAAAGAATAAATATAATAAAAATAATGCCTTAGGACAACATTTCACTTGACGTTGTTGGCAGTCAATGGCCTCTTTAGAGGTTTGCATGTGGCACGCCACAGATCCATTTCAACAGTTCTTTGTTGGTCTTTCAGTCGCTGAGGAAAAGCTCTTACTTACATATTTTCTATGCTCATATCATTGGCATTGACATTGCTGCGATCTATAATTAGTGGGGGTGCCTTCATTCAGATGTATCTACAAAGCCATAAAATACGTGGATACACACACTATTGTGTGTGTTGTGTATTGTCAAAAAGGGTACAGAATGAGAGTGAATGACGGTCCCTGTTATTATATTTGTCTGGAGCTTAATGGCTTGATTGATTGTTAGTTTTATGCCGATAAGGGACGTATTTTTTTTGTGCCGGAATCAGTGATTAGGCCGTGCCTCCTCCTAACCCAGAACGTGAGGACTACACTGATAGATATGTGTGTTTTATTTATGTTTGAACAACTTACGCATAGATTACCTAACAACCGGAGAAGGAGGAGTGTCAGGAGCATGGGGTTGTGACGCTCGTGATATAGATATAGAGGCCAACTGTCGTCATGAATATGCGAGCTAAAGTATATAGAATATATTCACACCAGACAGTCACCAATTTTCTGGCACACCACACACACTCGTTCTTCGTTCCATTCTATTTAATTTCCATTTTACTAAAAGACTTGGGTTTGGTTTTTTTAGCTTTTTGCAAAAAAGAAATTATATCACGCGCCTGATTTCCATATTTATTTTGTTTCGGTGTAATGGTGTGTGGTTTTGTGCCCGTTTCAAATGATTTTCAATTGGTTTATATTGATGGATGGCATTTTAATGAAGCGTGAAGCGATGACAACCGATTCCCCCTGGGTTCGGTTCGGGGTTCACTTTACTTTTGGGTACAACACTTGGCAACAAGTGCTTCAAGGGGGCTCGTTCTTGATTCTTCAACACTTTAATTGATTTATTTTTTCTATTTGCTCTATTTGTTTATAGATCCTAAGGCCACCGCTGGACATCAAAATGGAAGTGTAAGTATATTATGAAATATGATAATTGCTTTTTTTTTATAATTGATGACAACCCGAGGCAATGATTGATTTCTTTTGATTTGTTGAATGAAAATAAATATAAATAGAGGAAAGTTTTGATGCTCAATTATGCTTAGAGTGATGTATGATTTATCTAGATTTTTTTGATGTTATGTACAATTTTTATGATATTTTATTAAATGGAATGCGAAAAAGAAATCGCTTTGATTTTAAAAGTCTTTTAAAGCATTTAGAAGTATGTAATAAAATGATGGGTTGTCTTTAAGGCTTTTATAACTTATATTATATATTTCTTTACTAATTTTATTTATATTTTTATTTTATTTACAGTGAAATTGGTGAACCACCGCAACCGCCGGTAAAGTGTTCCAACTTCTTTGCCAATCATTGGAAAGGCCTGGTGGTCTTCCTAGTGCCCCTGCTATGCCTGCCCGTCATGCTCCTGAACAACACTCCCGTAAGATTTGAACTATATAATAATTTCAATAACAAATAAATTAATAATATTATTAATTTACAGGAATATCGTTGCATGTACCTGCTGTTGGTAATGGCCGTGTTTTGGGTCACAGAAGCCTTGCCTCTATATGTGACCTCCATGATACCAATTGTGGCATTCCCTGTAATGGGAATAATGGTAAGTTATTAATTAAAAAGCCAAAAATATTTATACTAATATTTTATTGCATTTCTAGAGCTCAAATCAAACCTGCCAGCTGTACTTCAAGGACACCCTGGTCATGTTCATGGGTGGCATTATGGTGGCCCTTGCCGTGGAATACTGTAATCTGCACAAGCGTCTTGCCTTGCGTGTAATCCAGATCGTGGGCTGCAGTCCCCGAAGGTAAGAGGGATTTTCTTTGCTAAAATTTAACTTTATTTAATAATATTTCTTATTCTTGTTTAGATTACACTTTGGCCTGATTATGGTCACCATGTTCCTTTCCATGTGGATCTCGAATGCCGCCTGCACGGCCATGATGTGTCCCATTATCCAAGCTGTGCTCGAGGAGCTGCAGGCTCAGGGTGTGTGCAAGATTAACCATGAACCCGAGTACCAAATTGTTGGCAACAACAAGAAGAACAATGAGGATGAGTGAGTTTATTATTATATTTTATATTTCAAATTAAAACATATCATTGAATTTTGCATTTATTTTATTTAGGCCACCATATCCCACAAAGATCACGCTTTGCTATTATTTGGGTATCGCCTATGCCTCGTCTTTGGGCGGCTGTGGAACCATTATTGGAACTGCCACCAATTTAACTTTCAAGGGTATCTACGATGCTCGCTTTGCCAACTCCACCGAACAGATGGATTTCCCCACATTCATGTTCTACTCGGTGCCCTCGATGCTGGTATATACAGTGCTGACCTTCCTGTTCCTGCAATGGCACTTTATGGGTCTGTGGCGTCCCAACAGCAAGGAGGCCCAAGAAGTGCAGCGTGGCAAGGAGGGTGCCCATGTGGCTAAGAAGGTTATCGATCAGCGTTACAAGGAGCTGGGACCCATGTCCATTCACGAGATCCAAGTGATGATCCTGTTCATCTTTATGGTGATATGTACTTTACCCGCAAGCCAGGCATCTTTTTGGGCTGGGCCGATTGGCTTAATACAAGTGAGTGGAATTGTTGATATATATATTAAGAAATTTTATTAATAATTGAATTAAATCTTTCAGGGATATTCGCAACTCAATGCCCACCATTTTCGTTGTCATCATGTGCTTCGTTCTGCCCGCCAACTATGCTTTCCTGCGTTATTGCTCCCGTCGCGGTGGCCCGTGCCCACGGGACCCACTCCCTCGCTTATTACCTGGAAGTTCATTCAGACGAAAGTGCCATGGGGTCTGGTATTCCTGCTCGGCGGTGGCTTCGCTCTGGCCGAAGGCAGCAAGGTGAGTGGTATGGCCACGTTGATTGGCAATGCCTTGATTGGCTTGAAAGTCCTGCCCAATGCTGTCCTCCTGCTGGTGGTCATTTTGGTGGCTGTTTTCCTAACGGCCTTCAGCTCCAATGTGGCCATTGCCAACATTATTGTGCCCGTGCTGGCGGAAATGGCCCTGGCCATTGAGATTCATCCACTGTACCTGATCCTGCCCGCCGGCCTGGCCTGCAGCATGGCCTTCCACTTGCCCGTGAGCACACCGCCCAACGCTTTGGTTGCCGGCTATGCCAACATTAGGACCAAGGATATGGCCATTGCCGGTATTGGACCGACTATTATTACAATTGTCGTCCTGTTTGTGTTCTGTCAGACCTGGGGCCTGGTCGTGTATCCCAACCTTAACTCGTTCCCCGAATGGGCGCAAGTGTATGCTCATGAAGCTCTGATGAAGGCGAATCGGACGATTTAGAGTAGTTAGGAAATCCTTTAGGGTAAAATCAATCACAACAGACAGCAATGGAAATCAATATTGAATATGTTAGGGAACACTGTACAAGATGAAGTGCCTTTTGTGTGGAACCATGTTTTACTATATAATATGAAGAGATGCATTTGCGGAAAACATTTTTATATACAACATTAATTATTGTGTAGCGAAATACTTTCAAAAAAAATCGAGCATAGCTAAGCAATTAAACCACAATTAATGTTACTTAAGCGTTGCATTTAGCATAATGAATATTAATGAGAAAACACGGGGTAAATATCTTTCAATTATATTTTTAATAACTAGACTGAGAGAACGTACACATATTCGTGAATGAAAATTGAAATAAACAACTTACTCAACTTATTTGCGATTGCGAAACGAGAGCACACACACAAAATAGCCTTTAGTGTAAGCTTAAATGATACTGTGTACATTTGCAAATGATTTATGTTTTATATAGTTTGTAAAGAAAATATCAAATACAAATAAAAAGCTCAAAACAATAATTTTCAATGATTTTCTTAAATTCATTCATTAACTCATTTTACAATTTTAAATGGTTTCTTTAAATTCATTCTTACTTCATAATTCATTTTAAAATCAACAGTTGGGCCCATATGTTTTTAAATTATCACCACTTTTGAGGGGCGACTGTTTACTTGTATTTTATAAAATATCAAATTTTAAATTTAATTAGAACTAAGCCAAAAAAGCATTTATTTCAATTGGAAAGGATTTTTGTGCTTATTAAAATTAATTTAAAAAAAACAGCATATGAATTTTAATCTGTACAAAAATTTAAAATTTTCTCAATTTTTTGACAATTTGAACGATATAACCCCTTATAAAATTTTCGAAAAAATTGATAAATAATTTTTTCTTCAGTGAAGTCCTAGATCGACTCGCCTGTTGATGCTGATCAAGAATATATATGGTTTATAGGGTCGGAAATAACTCCTTCCAGCGTTAGAAGCTTTTGACTAAAATTAGAATACGCTTCATGGATCTAAAAAATACCATAAAAATAAATTTCGAATTTCTGTATCCTATAATAATATAATTCAAAAGGTGTGCGCCAATTAGATTTAATATCGATAACTATAAAAGCTTTTCTTTTAGAGATGATAAATAACGATTACTTTACTACTTTAACAATCGATAAACCTTTACAGTTTTAGAGTAATTGATTCGGGAAACCTGTTGCTTAAAATTTGAATTTTTGTTTATCTATTTATTTAAATATTCCCTTTACTGAAAGTGTTAAACTGTAATTCTAAATTTAAAAAATATATTAATATTCTCCTCTTCAAATTAAACCATCAAATATATATTTTAGTATCAAAATATAGAGTTTATTGTATATGTGCATCCATTTGCATATAATTGTATTTCGTGTATAAACTAAGACAATTTTGAATATCAAAACAAGATACAAGCACAATAATTAATTAATTAATTTGATTTTAGCCCGCAACCAAGGTAGCCGATAAGCAAATATGCTTCTTGTTGTTAGTCAGAGTCGTCGGAATTGGGTGTTGTTGTTTGTAGTTGTTGGAATCGTTAAGTTCCAAATAGGGTTAAACCGTAATTAAGGCCAAGAAAAACCAGATCTGGTGATATCCATGCTTAGAACTTGGAGGATTTGGCCAGATTAAGAGCTTCGGTCAACATGCGTCCGAAATCGGCATGAACCAGGGTGAAGTTCTTCACCGCACGCTCCTGCAAGAACTGGCTGGCGTTGTTCAAATGATCGGCAATGTTCTGCACCAGACGCTTCTTGGCGCACTTGTCGAGACATGCACCCAGAAATCGGTGACCTGGCCATAGTTATCCTCAGTATCACCACTGCTGTAGCGATAGACATCGCCAGTGACGGGCAGCAGGTGGACAGAGCCTGGCCCTAGGGCATTCCTGGGGTCCATTGAAGGAGTTGGGATAATAGTTGGGAGCACCGTCCTGGTTGTCGGTGACATTCATGGCGCCATCACGCTGGAAGTTGGCAACCTTAACCTTATAGGGACAATTGACGGGAATCTGCAGATAGTTTGGTCCCAGACGATGACGATGGGTGTCCGAGTAGGAGAACAGGCGACCCTGGAGCATCTTATCCGGAGATGGTTCAATTCCGGCACCAAGTGAGCAGGACTGAAGGCGATTTGCTCCACCTAAAAGAAATAAGTTATTAGTTTCGGAGCTAGTATTCCTAAATGAAGCACATACCTCGGCAAAGTAATTCTTGGGATTGCGATCCAGCACCAACTTGCCAACAGGAATCAAAGGATACTCCTTGTGCGGCCAGATCTTGGTCACATCGAATGGATTGTACTTGAACTTCTTGGCCTCATCGAAGGTCATCACCTGAATGTACATCGTCCAGCTGGGGAACTTGCAGGTCTTGATCCTGTTGTACAGATCCCTAATGCTATAGTCCGGATCGCTGCTGGCCAACTGATCGGCCGCCTTCACATCCAGATTCTTGATGCCCTGATCCGTCTTCATGTGGAACTTGGCATAGATGGGCTCACCCTTGGCATTGACCAACTTGAAGGTGTGCGAGCCATAGCCATTCATGTGGCAATAGCCATCGGGAGTTCCACGATCGCTGAACAGGAAGCTGACCTGATGCGTCGACTCGGACGCAGGGTGAGGAAATCCCAGAACATATCGGGATCCTTCAGATGCGTCTGCGGATTACGCTTCTGGGTGTGAATGAAGCTGGGGAAAAGGATGGGATCGCGGATGAAGAAGATAGGAGTGTTGTTGCCAACCAAATCCCAGACACCATCCTCCGTGTAGAACTTGACGGCGAATCCACGAGGATCACGAGCAGTATCGGCAGATCCACTCTCACCGCCCACCGTGGAGAAACGGATGGCCAAGGGAGTGCGCTTCTTAACCTTGTCGAACATCTTGGCGGCACAGTACTTGGTGATATCGTGGGTAACCTCAAAGTAACCAAAGGCACCAGCTCCCTTGGCATGCACCACACGCTCGGGAATCCTTTCGCGATCAAAGTGCGACATCTCATCCAGGAAGTTCACATCCTGCAGGAGCACAGGTCCACGGGGACCCACCGTCTGTGTGGCATCCTTAATGCCAACGGGTGCACCATGACCAGTGGTGATGGCTCCAGGTGAGACCTACAAATAGAAATACAGGTAAGTGCTATTAGTTATAAGTTCATTTATAATTTACCTTGTAAATGGTTTATAATAAATTCTTGTTTATTATTTTTTCAGCTTAATTCAAAATTTATTTACCGGCTACATTGCAAAGTGCAATTCTCTTAATATTTTGTTATATAATATTACCAATTCAAAGTGTCCCCTAATCTTATCAAAGCTTTAAGGCGATAATTCTTTTTGGGCCAGCGGACTTTCATATTTCTTTTTAATAATCTATGGACACTGTCATGAAGAAAAACATAAACATAAAGATTATAGAACTTTATCACTTCCTAGGGGGTCACTTTGAAAGGTGTTCTAGTGCAAAATATATATATTTTCATGGTTTTTTAGTTAAGTGGGAAAATAATAAGGTTTTAAGGAATTTTTAAACGATTACAAAATAAAATTGATTGAGACTAAATACCAATTAACATTTTTAAAGTAAACCCCTTAAATTCCCTGCTTTTGTATAATAATTAATAACACCTTTTTGTAAAATAATAACAATAAATTATTAATTCTCATCGAATATCGCTGTCTCTGGTCAGACCTGAATAATCAATTAGCTTTGCTAAATGTCCCTCATTTATCAAACGGAGATCTTTTTTTGTATTATATCAAGTGTCTTTCCATTTCATTATCATCTTCCTGTGTTTTCAATTAATTTCCCTGGAGACATACCACACCTTCTGTGGATGTTTTAATCATTTATTTCGCATGCAAGCCAGCTACTCATTATAGAATTAACTCAAGTCAATTTGCAAAAATGCACACTGTTTCGCTAATGTTATTGCGAAATTCTAATGTGAAAGCATTTCTAGAACACACTGTGTGTACATATATTAAAGAGTTGCATGGGTTAAATAGAGGTGATATCTTTATATATCAAAAGTTAACCCCCCTGTGGAGATATAACAAATAATTAAAGCTGCCGTTTAGATTTCGCAACAATGTCGTTTAGATGTTGTGAATTACTTAGGGAATAATATACTTTTAAGTGCTCTACTGTGGTTATCTATTTTATCTGATTTTAATTCTTTGAAGTAAGAGAATGATTTATACTTAGAAGTACAAGAAACGTATTAAAGTTTGTGCAGATTAACTGAATCTTCAAAGAATATTTAATTTAGACTACATTTTTTGGTAGAATTAAAGTGGAAAGTTAGTTGCATCCATAGTACACAGGAACCTCTATTTAATAATAGAAATATATAATATATTTTATATATTATTTGATTTCAAGACCCTCCTCAATAATTGCGTTGCAATCAGTAGCTAATTTTAAATTCAAAGCAGCTTTCCAGCTCTGAATTATACATCTTGTTTTGTTAACTCTCCCTATAAATTCTTTATTTGATTTTTTTGTTCTTTTTTCAAGACACTTTATATATGTATGTATTTTTATGGCTTATAAGTATACACTCTTCTCCCTGCACTCCTGTCTTTCTACATTTTTTTCCATCTGCTTTGATTTAATCAGTATTGTTTGCACTTTGAGACAACAATGTGGATCCACTTTCTGGAGGGGACAGAGATACGAAAAGTGAAGCAAAACCGGGAATGGTAATGGAACTCGATTCACGCCCCAACAAGTCAATCTGGTTCGTATCGGGCCTCCAATATAAATATGTGTATGTATTCCCAGCAAGAACTTTGATAAGAAAACCTCGTACGATCTCGAAAAAAAGAATGCAAAAATACCTAGACTACTGAAAGTTGTTTTTAATTGCAGCATGTCAGCGAAGTGAACAAACAAAATGTTAATGAGGGCAAAGGCTTAAAAAGATCCCTGTGCATCTGATAAAAATTATAAGAGAGACAACATTTTCTACTAGATATCATTTATCACAAAAACTGAGTCATTTGAAGGGCAACAAATACGGCAGATGATTAATTCTGATATTACAATGAAGATTTAAGTGATGAGTTGTGAAATTATAGCTTAAAGTAGATTATTTAATAGATAAGAAGACAGAAAAAAGATAAGAATACAGAAAACTGCTGAAATTATTTTATATATCGAAGAAATATTGTAAATTATTAATTTATTAAAGAAATTAGTTAAAGAAATTAAGTTTTGTGTTTAGACTTCAATCCATTCATCAATATATATGTATTTTCCAGTTTACCAAGATTTTACAATACTCTTCTTAGTTTTTCCATTCGATCACTTATTTTACGACCTTCCCCAATAGATTAGGTTTCAAAACTTTGCTATTCTAGAATTCTTTCCAAATTCTTGGTTAATCGCGTCAAGCCAAGGTATTATTATACGATTCTCCACTATATGTGGAAACAAAGAACCCCAACTAGTTGCCATGATTATTTAGCGAAACAAAGGCAAACATTTAATTGCCTGATAGAATGCAGTTTTCACAGTTTCGTCATAGAAGGTTAAAATCGTCTAAAACAACACGAACCAAATGCAACCAACCAAGTAAACTGAGCAACAGCTTTTTGGCTCTCTTCTCTGGGTCACTGCGAAAAATATTTACACATACTCACTTGTTGCATAACCAAATTGGAGAAGGAAAATTTACGAAACGCATTTTCCCTCCAAGTGTGGAAAGGCTCGAACCCAAAACGGGTTTCTTTTAGCCGGGTTCGTTGTCTCGTGATCGACGCGGCAGCCAACAAGCCCATTGCAACCAGTTTATGCAACATTGAGCCGGTCGCAGCAAAGTCCATTGACTTTCCAGACATTTTCCAACCACAAACAAGTCGTATATATGCATTTATACACATATATATGTATATATAGAAAATATAATTGCAATTGTTTGCTTTGTGTTATAATAAAGTAGGGGCGTAAGTCGGTAACTTTTTTAATTGATTTCTTTGACTCATCCATTTAATGCGTTCATAATTTTGTTTACGTGAGATATATGTATATTATTTGATATATAATTATATTATTTTTCAGTCCGTAAAATAGAAATAATTAGTGTTCTTGAGTAGAACCCTTCTTTTAATTATCGCCCTTTAAACACAATTAAAGTATTTCGCTTCAATAAGTCAATAAAGATAATTGCATTTCCTTTCCACAATTTAATAAAAATAATTGGTTCTTTGTATAACTTTATAATTAAGCTATATAAGTATATATATATATATAATATAAGTATAATTAATAATGTTTTTAAAAGGTTTTCCAAGGTTAATTCTAACTATATTGTTGCTATATCAAAATTCCTACCAAATAGGTATATATTACTGATAAATATAATCTATTTGGGCCAATTACTTAGCAGGTTTTTTGATGCTTATCAAGGTGACTGGCATATAGCTCAACTCTAAATATTTGAGTTTCATTTATCGATTTATGGGGTACATGCAAAAAAGGGGGGAAAAAAACAATGTATAATATAAAGAAATACCCTTCAGAGGTATTATAATTTCAGTCAGAAGCCTCAAAATCAGTAAAGGAATCATTTACGACCCTATAAATCATATATATTCTTGATCAGCATCAAAAGCTGAATCGATCTAGCTATGCCCGGCGAAAAAAAAAATTTCGAAAGTTTTTCCAATTTTTATAACACTTTTAAAGTGTTGAAAAATTGATAAAATTTTAAATTTTTTAAAAAGGTAAATTTAGTATGCAGATTTATTAACCTTACAAAAACTAACATAGGAAAGCTTACCGAATTAAAATTAATACATTTTTGGCTTAGTATGATATTTCAAAAACTTTGATTTACGCAAAAATTGCCATATAAAATTATCGATATTTTGAGATACAATTTTTAATTAATTTCTTTGCATTCTTTTACGATTCTTCCATTAATTACATTTGAAATACTTTTCAAAAATCTGCCCTGTGTACTTTGTGCATTTGCGAGCGTCACGATTTTTCAATTTTAAATCATTAAGCGAACACAAATACCAATGTGTATTCGAAACGAAAGCGAACACTTAGCACGAAAGTGCAAACAAATTCGAATAAATAAATATAATGAACATGCAGCGACTAGTGCCAAATGAAATTGAAAATGGCAAAAAGAAACGGAAAGCAAAACAAAAGCCAAAGGTTGCCTAAGGTTAGAGGTGGAAAATAGGGCAAAAAAAACTTTGGATTAGGCCCTCCAAATCCATCGAGGAATATTTATTGGTAAACTGATAACTCTTATCAGTTGTGATAAGAGAGGTATAAATAAACAGGCAGAGAGCCGGAAAGAGAGGGAAAGGAAGAGAGCAGAGAACGCGATAGCGACCGCTCTTGAACTTTGAACTGTTCGCTTGCGAAATGCACGATCTCTGTGGCTTTTTGCATTTTTTAATTATTAACGATTATTTCTATATAGAAAAGTACAGCATTATAGCCATCGCCTTTGTTTTGCCTTTGTTGTCTTATTTTTTGTTTATTTTATTTTGAACATTTCGTTTCTGCTGCCCTTCCTCTTTGCCTTTCTCTTTTTTCCTACTTTCGGGCCGGCACACACACACGCACACATGAAAACAATCGCACACAGATTCTTGGTCGCACACTGACAACACCAGCACACTCACCGTTTGAGAGTTTTTGTAGTCAATCAACTGATTCGATGCGGCATCGCGGTCAGCCATTTTATCCAGAAATTTTGCGTTTATTTCTCGTCTTTAATAAAACCAGAATTTTGATTTGTGCTTGGAGCAGATTTTGTTCCTTTGAGTTTGCTTGCGCCGAGAATTGTGTCGATTTTGTTTATATAGCCCCTGCTAGTGTTGCCAGTTTAGCTTTAGCTTTAATTCAGGCTAAATCTGGCATGTTTGAAAATGGTTAAGCTTTTAAAGCTTGCAACTAGCTAATGGCTTTTAAAAAAGCTTTGTCAATGTCAATTAACGATTTGTTTTATGGTTTTGTCTAAAAAAATTAGTTTTAGAATAAAAAAAATACTATAATCATGTTAAAGTTGAATTCTCACCTCAATTTGCTCTTGAAATTTAACAGCCCCGTTTTTAGATTTACATTTTACACGTGTACAGAAAAATTTTACACGCTTACAGATACATGGTGTCGAATTTGGAGTAAGATTCTCTTACATAGGCGTCAAACCCTTTAGTAAAAAGTAAAATTAATTAACAGATCTTTCATACAGGGCTGTCGAGTGCTTGCAATACAGATTGTATTTTTTAATCTATTATTTTATATATTAATGGTAACTTCGCTGGTTCATATCATTTTATTTCGATTACTAGGAATAAATGCAATATAATCTATATAGATTTATGTTTAAAAACAATGAAGTAATGCCTGCTTTCATTTCATTCACCTACACAAATAATAGAGTTTTACATTCCCAGTTTTGCATTTTCCTTTATATCTAACGATCGTTTTTGGCAAATATATGATATACTCCGATTTTAATAATATTAAAAATTCTAGAATAATATAAAAAAGCTATATCCGAAATTATATGCAAATCTGGTGAAAATTGGAATAGTTAGAATTTTTTTCTAAAAATCTTTTGATCGTTCCTATGGCAGCTATATAATATAGTCGTCCGATCCGACTTATATACGAGTGATAGATAGATAGAGTGATATAGAAGACTAACTGCAAAGTTTCATTCCGATAGTTTTAAACATAAGACTAGATTGCTTAGGAACGGACAAACGGACATGGCTAAATCGACTCAGCTATTGATCCTGATCAAGAATATATATACTTATATGGTTGAGGTGACTCCTTCAATGCGTTGCAAACTTCTGAAATTATAATATCCTACCCTGAAGGGTATAAGACAATCTTTTTTGTTTTTTTCATTTAAATAATACAATATTTTTTGGCTATTGGTAATAACTTAAATATTAAGTTGTTAATTGCTTCATTCATTTATTTTTGTTTCTTTTAATTCTAGAATATTTAAAATATTTCTTTTAAAAATTATTATTTTCAAAAAGGGTAACATTAACTAATTGGGCATTTTCCATTCCATTTTTTTTAAATTATATTTAAACTAAAGTATTTTCATAAAAGGTAACGTTCTTTCTGTTTATAAATCACTTATTAGATATTTTAAAAGCATGATGCAGATCTCATAGGTAAATAATCAGAACTGCTTAAACACTTAACATTAATTTATTTAAAATTTTAGAAAGACGACAAATATTTAAACTATTTAGCCTACAAATCGTTCATTCTTGCTATATCTTCTTATTAGAAAGTTACATTAAATTGTTTGGTGTTTACAAGGATCTCCCAATGATATACATTTTTAGTTTATATTTTTCAATTATATTTAAACTAAAATATTATTTCTTTTTAATAAATTGCATACTTATATATATATAAATATTGTGTCGGGACTGATTTATACACTTAGTAAAATTAAGAATAAGCGTTAATATTGTTAATATGAAGATAATAATTTCACTAAGTTTATTCTGGCTCATCACGGGACTTATTAAATACGACTCCAAGCGGATCCTTCCAGAAGAATCCGCTTTGAACAACAACAATAAATATAAGGGATAGATTGAAGTGCAGTTGGACAACTTTACCCGCTGGCTACCCCCCTGTTGTCCCAGCCAGATATATATCCATAGCAGTCTTATTTATATGCACAAATTGACGCCTCTTGGGAATAGGCTGAATGTGGGGCAAACGCGTACCATTCACCGCATTAAGGCTGAGGTTGGAGTTGGCATCGTCGTCGTCGCTGATATAAGATGTGCTCCTTGCCGTTGGCGCTTGCGGTGAACGTCCACGTCTCTGATTTTTCTTGGCTGCCGCTGCAGCACTCGTCCTGGTCCTGTCGTCGCTTGAGGTGCTTGAGTCTAGTGAGGAAGGCGGTGTTATAGTTATACTTGGCACTGTCCTACGCATCGTCACCGTACCAGCCTGGGGTGGATTTAATATACTCGGATCGGAGCTGGTTCGCTGGCTGTTGCTCACATCCGAAATGCTGTTGGTAGAGGCCTGACGCTTGTCATGGTGCTTCCGGGCATTGGACATCTTCATGCGGTATAGCTTCATCAGATTCTGATAGCATTCGAGGCACAAGGTGCATCCCAAGCGCATATCAGGGTTAACGCGTTGTGCGAACCGCAGCAAGTTTGGATCGTTAATGCTCCGATTCGGCGTCTTCAGCAGATGCGGCCCTATTGCGCACCTCTTTCGCGGACCCTGCGGCGGGTCTTGGGAGGATGACGGCGCCATCTCTGCAACTGTTTCTTTTTAGTTTATAGTTTGTGATTTAAGTTTTAAATAGCTTACCTTTGATTTGTTGTTCCTTGTCACAAAATTTTCCCGCTTATGCGACGCCAGAGAAGGGAAAACATCGATGACCTCACAACGAAACAGCACAAAAACATCGATATGTAAAACGTCACACAGAAAGGTGTAAAACATTGATGGAAAGATTTGGAACATTGCTAATGCTGTTGGGAAAAATGTATAGTTATATTATTAGAAAGTTATAAGTTGTAATGAAAAGCATACTTGCCATACTAGATAAAATTAGCAGTAGAGCTGGTAAAAGCTTATAAATATAAACAAAGAATTAACATCCGGGGCAACAGCTGTTAGGCAGGTCCAGACGAGTTAGCAGACCCACATGTTAAGTTCGTAAATATGCGGTTAACAGTGGCTCAACATACAATTGGGTGTAAATTCATTTTTCAACTGAAAACCTAATAAATTTGTGTGTTGAACATGTAAATATTATCTATCACGAGAATGACAAAGCAACAAATGGGATAAGGAAAACACATCTTTATTCGATACATCGATTCCATCGATAATATCTACACCTTTCGATAGTACCTGTTCGATATCTGTATACCATCACTAGCAAAACAAAGTTTCATTGTTCATACGTTCGTCTCGTCTGATTTTCTTTTTATACAAAAATAAAATTAAAATTTCAAACATATACACATAATGTTTATAAATATAATGTAGTGCAACACATATATGTATATATACATATATATAATAGCTAAATACCAAGTGCAATCCCCAAACAAACCGAAATAACTTCAAATGGCAATCTAATTTACGTAAAAAAGAGACTACGAAAAAAAGAAACGGCGCGTGTGAAATTTTTTCGAAGCAAAGAGAAGTTGGAGCAACAAAAAATGAAATAAAAGCAAGAGAGAAAAGCAAATACAACAACAACACATACACAAAGTAGGCCAACAACAACAACAACGATAAAGAGAAGAAGCAAGCAAGCAAGCGGCAACAACAACAGACGCAAGAAGCAGAAACCTTGTAATTGTGTCAATAAAAATGTTTTAAATTATATTTCCTTTGGGGAAATGTGCGAGTCTCCGTGTCTATGAGAGTGTGAGTGTGTGTGCCAGCGTGTGTGTGTTCGAGACAAGTGAAATTTTCTTTGTTTCCCTTTGCGGGGGAGGAAAAAAGAGTCAAGAAATGAAGTTGCCTTGAAACAAAAAGAAAAAACCGCCCCCCTTAGCCCCCCAAAAAAAACATCGTACATGTATGCGTGTGTGTCTGACTCGTTGTCTGCTCGCCGATGCTTTGTGTGTGTGCGTGTGTGGCAATGAACGTTGAGCAACAACAATAATTGTATATTTTGTTGGAATTTTTGCCTTATTTATTATATATGTACACACGCTGTTTGCTTGCTTTTCACCTATAAAAAAGAAACAAAATGCGAAAATGATTAAATATAAAATGTCTGAAGTGTTTTCTCTAGAGCATTGCTATGAAAATGTGCGGCCGAAAAATGAAAAGCAACAAAAACAGCGGCTTTAAGGCTGCTGGACAGGTTTCCCACGGCTAAAACAACAACAACTACAACAATTGAAAGAAAAAGGAGCAACAAGACGAAGCCGAAGAAGAAGAAGCAGCAGCAATGCGTGAAACGCGAAAGCAAAGTGAAATTCATGACAACAACAACAGCGACAAGAGCGTAGCGGCTAACAGAAACCGTTATTCAACAATTTCTTGAATAAAAAAATCATACAAGTGAAAGAAGGCACAAAAATACTGGTTTACACAAAAAATATATATATAAAAAGAAAGAAAGAAAGCAAAGAAAAGAAAAGAAAAGAGAGAAAAAGTTGCAGCACGAGAAATTTTGTACGTGTATCGTGTCTCTCGCTCTCTACATATGTGTCTCCCTGTGTGTGTAGTGAAGTAAAGTGAAAAGCAATGCTGAAAGGAATTAAAAACAACAACATCAGCACCGAGTTTACAATAAATATAACAGTAAACGGATTTAAGGGCCACGCGTGGGAGGTAACCACAAAGAAAGGAAACCTTTAATATTGGAACATCTCAAGGTGAGTGGTTTTTTGTGAATATTTTTTTATAAAAGCTTAAAGTTTTTTTATAAAAAATCATGCTTTAGTTATGCTGTTGCCATGGAGTGTTAACAAAAAAAAAATAAGAAAAAGAGGGAGGGAGATAGAAGGGCAACTGTGTTGTGTTTGTTTCACTTTTTTTTGGAGCATGCGAAACGGCTACAGGTGGCTTATTTACAGTTACTTTCTTGATAACAGCTGCTGCTGCTGATGTTGCTCTTCTTTGCTTTCTTTTCTTTTGCTCTTCATCTTCTTGTCTTCACGCTTGTTCTTCTCACATTAAGCTCTTCTTTCAAGCTTCTCACGCTCTCCAAAGAATTTGGGGTTTTTATATTGCTTTTATTTGTAATAGCCATCAAATTAACGGTAAAAGCCCATCGATAATGGATGAAACTGGAACTTCTTTTCATTTTCATTCTTATAAGGATGAAATGGTGATTGGGAAATGATAATATCATATAAGAATTGTAAATATAGTAAAATATAGTGAATAATACAAATCAATTAAAATATTACCAAGGTCTGATAATAATTTAGTAATTCCGGAAATAAAATTACATATAAAATATATGTTTAAAAATACATTTTTAATTTATTTAAACAACTAATTATTATTCTTAAAGATTTTATCTTGACTAGTAGCTAATTATGTAAAACATTTGTTGTGTTGAGCTTGAATCTGAAAAAAAGATATTGTCAGAAAATTGTTAAATAAAAACCTGATTTTATCGTAAAGATTATTAAAAACGATTAAATGTTAAATTAAACTTATAAATTTACAATTAATGTTTGCATAATGTAGTTTTTCGTTTTTTTTTTCGATAGTTTGAGCTTAGTATTTATTAGTATTTACATTTTTTGTTTTGTTAAATGTTTATTTTTGCTTTAGCATACTTTTTGAGATTTATAAACATGAGCTTAGTGTTTATGCCTTGACAACTTTACTCACATGACGAACAGCGCCTGTCATGGATTTATCAACAATTAATTGAATGTTTAATGACCTTAACATTCTATGAATTGTATTTTTAGCAACTCATATGCACTCGTGCATCACCCAAATGCCTATGTTTGCATTGCTTGATCAAATAGTTGGAATACCCAGTTCTCTGGATTTACAGACCCGCTTCAAGTCACGTTTCTCTGTTCAATTTTGTTATCAGCTTGTAAAGCGATACTGGATGCGAACATATGTATGTACATATGTATGTATGCCTATGTGCTATATGTACATACATGTGTGTTGTGTATATTTATTCCTCTCTCTGGAAATAGTCCAACCGATTCATAAATTACTCAACGCAAACCAAACAGAACATGGAAAGCTTAGGGAAAATGAGCAAACATGTAACAGTAAATAGAGTAATACAGTCAACATCTATAAAGTCAACTTTTGTTTATTATCGCTATAAATACAGGGTATTACACTTCAGTTAGAAGCTTGAAAACGTGTGAAGGAGTCATTTCCGACCTATAAATCATATATATTCTTGATCAGCATGAAAAGTAGAGTTGATCTAGCCATGTCCGAAGAAAATTAAATTTTTCAAAATTTTCATTTTTTTTAAAAATTATCGAAAAAATGAACAAAATTTAACATTTTTAATGAAGTATGCAGATTTTTTAACCTAACAAAAATAAACATAAGACCGCTTTCCGAATTAAAATTAATGCTTTTTTGGCCTAGTTATGACTTTTTTAAACTTTGATTTGCCTATAAAATTGTCATATAAAAAGCTAATAATTTAAACTTATTCGATCTTATAATTTAATTGCAAACTATATACTCTCCGGCTTTCTAAAATTAGTTTTCTCTCTTGTTTTATGTATAATACATATTGTTTATTTTACTGAATATTACTACTATTCTTACGTTTACAATAAACGAAGACAAGCAAATTTCTTTGATTTACTTTGAAAGTTTAAAATATATTTAATACCTGAAATTTATTTTTTTAATGTACTATATAAAGTACTATAGTATCTCTGATTATCTTGTATGTTCTTTATTCTTATGCATTACATTTTAACCTTTTTTAAGGTCAAAGCTAGCTCGATTCGTTCGTGATTTTCTTTTGTTACACTTGAAAAACACTCTTAAAATAAGTCTGTTTCACCATTTAATTTACATAATATAAATGATTTTTATGTATACATATGTTAGTTAAATTTATCAAGCAATTTGACTGTATTTGTTTTAGGGTTTCCCTATTTTCTGCCTAATCTGTAAATCGAAATCGGGCAAAAAATAGAATTTTTCCCCAAACTGATAACTGATAACGTAGACCAAAAACAATTTGTGCTCGTAATGTTTACAATGTTTGGGGGCCACCACCAAATGTTTGATTTGTTGATAAATCGTTATGGCTTAGGAGGGGGGAAAATAGAAATCGAACGATTGATTTGAAACGAATTCAACTGGTTTGTTTGCTCTGTACAGCTGTGCGCGATTCGTTGAGGTTGATAATTAGTTGTAGTCAATCCCCTTCCAATCCCCGTAACTTCCCCTCTGTACTTTGACCAACTACGCCCATTGTACGCTTAAACGGTTTCTGTTTTATTTTTTTATTTAGTTTTATGTGTGCTGTTCTTTCTTGCTGCTTTTCGCTGAAAGCTAAAAAGCTAAAAGCGTTTAACCGGTTTGTTTCGAAACAAACAGAGAAAACCGAAAACAGAACAAGCCAAGACTGTGTTGGCTTGGCTATCTGTTTGCATGTGTGTTTGCCGAGTTGGCTCTGATGAATAACGTTAACTTTGAAGAGATATCTTGGTTGGTAGATATATTTTGTATATACACACATATATATCTCCGGTGTGGAATCAGTTGGGTAGAATAGTTATGAGCGGATGACACTCGCGAGAAAAGTTCTGACACATCGTTAATGGTCATAAAAAATGAGGGAATACTTTGTGGTTTATATTTATACCTTTTTAGGGTTTTTTTTTTAGGTTTTCCTACACATAATTAGTCAATTAGTACATTCAATTTATTATAAACTATTTACTTATGAACATTGGTTTTGCTTTATATGTATTAAAGTTTGAATACATTATCAAAGACATTTAATAGAACTTGTTTAGTTTGTTTATTAGTTTAATTTTTCTTAAGCAGAGATGACCTTTAAAGAGTAAATACAAACTAATCTTAAGTATAATAAAGGAAATAAAGTATATATAAAGGCTATATATCTCTTAAAATAAGTTATTTTTCAAAATATAATAATAATTTAATCTCTGAATTTCAAACTCACTTTCCTGCCACTCAAAGATATATACAAAACAAAGAAGAAAGTTAACTATCTTGGCACTTTGGAGCCTTATCTAAGAGATAACGCATATCAAGTAATTTCCTAATGGCATGAAATTAAGAAATTGTATCAAATTTCTGTCAACTTGCAGTTGGGATTATCTGGTACTTAATCAAATTTCGAAATACATATAATTAATCCGTGCTATAAATAAAGTTTGTACAAAAAGAAGAGCCTGCAAAAAAAGCCAGTTTAAAACGTGTTTGGCATATAAATCCGTTACTGTCACAAGCTTCTGGCCATTTTGCCAATAATAAAATTTCACCAAGACCATGAATTGCTGCTTTATGGCCAAGCTTCTTTGCTCAGATAAGAACTTGGAGTCTTTTTGGCCCGTTGAAAAACTAAACTCCCATCAATTTGAACTTTGGCCTGAGAACTTTTCGTGGATATAGAAGTACTCATAAATTCAAGTTGGAACCCCTTTCTATTTGCTGCTTATTTCACCTCTATAAACATGGCTAAGCTCCCCTAACACCTCCCCCATCCGTAATGTTTTCCACACAGATTTTCCCTTCGCCTGTTTTTGTGTGTACTTTTTTTCCGTGGCATCCAACTATAAATTTACTTTGTCTGCCCTTTTTGCCAACTTTATTGTTTACTTGGTTTATTTTTAGTGAGTGTTACATACACATACATATACTTTGCTGAGGAATCTAACAATTTACCCACTCATTTGCTGACTAGACAAGATTGGGAAAATAAATACAAATCCACACTTAAACTTCCTCGCTTTCGCTGTCATATTCAATTTGTTTTTTAGTCAGTAAACTTGCATTGTGTGCAATATTCATTTTAGAAAACATTTCATGAGTCAAGCGTAAAGTATTTTTGCTTTTATTTACTTTTTAGAGGACCCTTGCCAGCTTTTGGCCACTTTCAGTTTAATTATTCTCAAACTTGTTTTTTATCATTTTGTATTATATGAATACATTTTGTTCTGTTCAATTTGACACCTGTTGAAGTGTGAAATGAATTTTTAAAGTTACAAAACTCGTGTTACAAAGTTGAATGAATGAAATATAAACAAAAAAAGGTAAATGAACTTTGATAAAGTATTTTGAATTGAAATTTAAATGGTTTCAGTTGTTATATAAATTAAAACAAGTACAGGCTGTAAATCAAATTTAAATAAATATTAAAGAGTAAGTTGTTTATGTTTATTAATAACATTTTAAAGTAATCTCTTACCGTTTAAATATATTACTTTCAATGCTAAAATCCAACTAAATAATAGCTAGATTATCTAGTAAACTTAAATATAGAAATCTCAACTTGTTTCCCAATCGCTTTTAACATAAAGAAACGCCCATAAAACTGTCCTCCTTTTTCACAATTCATTCTGTCACTCAACAAAAGCCATCTCAATGCCTCATTTATCATATTATTTTTCATTTTTCCCCTCTCTACTAACTCTCCTACTATCTTCTCTTTGGCCCCTGGTTTTCCCTATGCAATTTCATAATTTTCCTTGATTAGTTGTTAAGTAGAAAGCAGAACGGAACTGAAGTAATACCAAATGACAATAATCAGAAACCCACATGCGAACAAACGATGCCATGCAAATGGTATTTGTGTCACTCATTTGCCGTGATCTAATTTCATATAATAATGGCATTTTTGTTACCTTATAAATTGAATCGAATGATAGAGGGGATAGAGGAGTGATAG